GACAATGGTACATCTGATTGATATGCTTGGCATACTGAACAGCAGATTCAGAAAAATGAGTATTCATGAATAGCATCACTTTACAGTTTGCAATAACAAGTCTAGCAATAGAGATAAATCTGTTTCAACACAGTGTATGCTCCTACCATTCTACAAATACTTTAACCAGAGCTAGTTCCTATCAACTATCCTTGAAGCTCCACCTCCTCCTCTGCTTCTCTCTTCTTTTTTCAGTCATCAGCCAGCATGACACTTGCAGATCCGAATCCTCCCTGCAGCCTAGCTGGCACAGCTGCAGCATTACGTATCTACCAGCCACATTCTCTTCACTCCAAGCCCCTGTTGTTCTGCCTGCCACCTGCTCACCTTTCAAAACTTTACCAGTAAATTGCCTGTTGCAAACCCTCCCTTTAGTTGCCAAATTGCGCAAGAAGAATAGGTACAAGTGGAGAACTGTTCAGCTCGGAAGACCAGAGGATGAGAGATGCAGGAATATGTAAAATGAACAGCAACAGGTCTGAGAAACATTTACATTCTTATTTAAGGCAAACTCCCCTTACAGAGGAAGCTTTCTTTAGTAGTCATATTAATTGCAGAAAATAGAGCTCTATGTGCATGAAAAGCTTTTTAAAGACTTTGCCTCCACAAAATATGGCCAAAAGCATCACTGATCAGCTGGGCTGGTACAGATGCTCAGCAACCCAACAGAGCTGTGGGGTTGGGTTTTTTTTTTTATATGTGCCAGAATTTTAACTGTTGAAAAGACATTTCCATAATCTTTTCAGCACTTTGAAAAGCTCTACTTTGAGGTAAGTAAAGCAAAAACTGTAGAGAAGCATAGATCCGTCTGGCATCAGTATGTCAGGATAAATAATGATCAGTTAATAGAACTACCATAATCCTACACAGCTTATAGTATTCTTGATTAAACTACTGGCAGGGGACCACTAGGATTTACAAAAAGATTGGGTTTTTGTTTTCTTTCCCTTTAATAATTTTTTGTCTGCTGTTGTATATTATTTAAAATCTGCTTGGTACAACTTCATTTTCAAGCTTGTTAGAGACAGACGTTTCTCAGCCCAAATTTGGTCCTGTTCCTTATGAAGAAACAACAAAACCCATGCCCTCTAAAGGCAATTCTGGGATCAGGCTTTTGATTCAAGAGCTACAGAGCAGAAGTTCAGGGATATATGCACAGTAGCCTGTGTGAGAAATTGCCATACCGTCTTGCCTGAGGGCACGTTATTTCCCATAGCATTTATCTCACCCTGAAAAAAAGGGATAGATCTGGGGTAGATAGTTGATGCTCAGTATCAGTTCTTCCAGAGTCTGGTTTTCTTCATTCTGTAAATGACGTGCATCAACAATGGTTTGTGTTTTTCCACTGTTGCTTGAAATCTTGTCAAATATGTTTCCCTTTCTCTGTCACTCTCATAATGTTTCTTTGGAAAATGCTACAACTGGATCCTTGCTGCATTTAAAACATCCTCACAGTAATTACAAGAAAGAGAAAAATCTTTAAAAAAATTGCATGTGTTTTCAAAATTATTTTCACTTCCATTTGCAAACCCAGAATGTCACAGAGATGTGAGCTCAACGTAAGGCAGAGGTAAAAACATTTACTTGTCTAACTTTCTTTTCATACCATATCATTTCAAGCATGATGTAGTTCTGTACTTGTAATTTTTAAGAATTAATTTGACAATAACTACAATATTCTAGTAATATTTGTACTCTAAAATTACTGACTTATACAATTCTAACTTCACGTTTAACTTACCTTATTTTCCCACTCCCCAGAAATGAAGTAATACTACTTGTTATTGCATAGGAAATTCCATTTTTAAAGCACTGAAGCACTTAGAATCCATCCAGTGCATAGACCTAAGTGAGGCCAAGTTCATTTATGGTCTAATCCTTAAAAACATTTCTAAAATCAGGGACAAGCATGTATTTACTGAGCAACAGTAGTCACATGAAAAATGTAAGTGATTCAGGTTGGTAGAAAAGGCATAAAAGACAGGGTGAGTCTGAAAAATTAGAAGCACAGCACTGAAGGCAATAGATCAGGTGTCATTTGTTGGCCAAAATCCCTCTCAAAGTGATACTATTATTAGGAATAAGTTTGTAGAAACTTGTCAGTGAAGGAGATTGACTTGGCTAAGAACTTGACATCCCTGTTAATCCTCTTGAGCCAAATATGAGTATGGTCTGACCTAAACATTAATAACCCCTTTTCTGTACACTGCGGCACAGGAGCCTTTACAACATCGTTTGTGATGTCTTCAAGCCAAAAAAAAAAAAAAAAAAAAAGCAGCCCTTTTACCAGATACATTTTAGTCAAAATATGTTGTTTTCCTCAACACAGGGGAATTGGAATAAAATTCTAAAATATGTGACATGGGAGGCTATGTCATCTGTGAATCCTGTCATGAAGGAGGAAGGTCGGGATGCCATCTAACTGACAGCGACTCTTTATTTGAGTTTATTGTGAAACAAACAGGAACAATTTCAGTATCTTTGCATGTGTTTTTGTGCTTACCTGTACACGTATACACAACGAACAGCACAAACAACCATAAGGACATAGAGATGCCACCTAAATTTCTCTTACTGTAACAAAGGTGCAGAGGCACTGTTCCATAAAAACTCCTTGACTTACCTTGGGAAAAAGACAAACCATTAAGTAAGAAAGACTGGGGACATGGTTTACAAGGCTCTTTGTATATAAAACTACCGTGATTACAAAACACCTTTTAAATCGTAGTCCCAAGCATGTGTTTTACCACCGGCGTTAGCGTGCATTCCCCTTGCTCAGAGCCGGAGAGCTCTGGCTCTCCGTGGAAAGAATGTGAAGCAGGCAGGAGAGGGAGATCCACGTGTCAGGGCCATCACTGTCGCATGGCCTCCTCACACATTGCAGATGTTGTTCAAGCATGAGCCAGGGAGTGTGTGGAATAAAAAGCAGCCTCTGGAACTTTAGGTGGGGATAAATGCTGCGGACAGCTTGCCGCATACTTCTACACCACAAGGGAATTTCACCAGCAGGGAACAGGATCTCTACAGGAATCTATGTATGGACTGATCTTAGAGGTAATATCGGTACATCAACATTAATTTTACACCATACCAATATTTTTTCTTTAGGAACTTAGCAGTAGAACTTCTTGCGAGTTCTAGGCACAGTTTGGCCATAAGCATATGACTTACACTAAGACATGAACAAATCCTGTAGAGCATATATCAGAGTTTTCTTTTCCTTTAGAAATCAATTTTTCTTGACAACAAAGTCCAATATATTCTGAGAAGAAAAATAAAAAAGGGTGAAGCTTCTAACTGTGCCAAAAAAGGAATAGTTGATAATGATGGGTCTTGCATCACAGTCATAAAAATGATGACTGTATCTCATGAGACCAAATAATATAGATCTGGGAATACTAGTTAAATTAAAATGTTCAGCATCTCTCAGAAAGGAACCACAGAAATTTGAGTTGTGACCATATAATATTTCAGATATTGTATGAAGAATATGCGGTTTATTGACTTGACAAGTACTAGTATTTTCCCCCAGGAAAAAAAGTGAATTCGTGGCAAATGGCCTAATAGAATGGTACAAGTAATTGATGGAGTTCTGCACAGTCTGTTGGGTGAGGTGACAGATCTGAAAAGCCTCTGACTTATTAGTTTTCCTGTCGTCAGGAAGAGGTATGTAAGGTATGACTATAGTCAAAGTAAGTTCAGAAAAGTACAACATAAACCAGAAAATGCTAGGGAGAAAAAAAGAATGATTCTAAACTCAATTTGCATGCCAAGACCATTTTAAAAATCATGTTTGAAATAACTCATAAATGAAAAAAATTGTCACTGTAAATATTTTACTAAACTTAGGAGTTATATTCCAAATTACTTTATATATATTTAAAAAAAATATTTAAAATATATTCAAGTGAACTTTAGCTATATAGTTATACATTTTAGGTAATTATAGTTAAGCTATTAGATTTGTACATGATACAAGATCGGAAAAAGCAGAAAACTTTATGGATTCAAAAGGCTCTCTTAATAAGCACTTTTTATTTACACTTTTCTTTAAGCTAAGAGTTGTTTCTGCTGCCCTACCCACATCATAGCCTACTCAAGGCTATGCAGTAGAAATTTAAATTGAGATAAATAATTTGCGTCTTGTAGTAACAGGAAGCTGTTAATATTTTTGAAAACATGACGGGTTTTTTAAATACCTGTTCCTTCAGTGTTGTATAAATGTATCATCTGGTCAGTATAGTTCCTCTAAGCTTCTAGCTAAGCTTGTCAAACTGATTCACATTTTTTAAAGGAAGAAGAATGTTGAAGCATTTTGTAAAAACATTTAAATACTTGGAAAAATAATGATTAAAGGTGGTATAGGAGAGCATTCCTTGCCTTTTAACTTTCCTGATATCCCTTCCCAATAGTGTTTTTAGGAGATGAACACCATGTTTGCAGAGATAGGTTGTAAAGCTGTCTGCCTTATTTTGGCCACCCAATATAGTTTTAGCACAAGATAAAAACATGTACAGTCTAAGTAACTGAAACAGCCAACTGTAGAGGTGTCTATATAAATATATATAAGGCTTATTCAATATAATTATGTAAATGGATGAAATTTTAAGAATCGGACAACAAACTGTTACTGATAAACAAAGAAAAGGTCTGCTATAAAAGTGTGCCTGCTCATTGCCACTACTGCAGTTGGCAGTGTCCTAGTTTAAACTACTAAATATTTGTGTCCCCTCGTTTGGCCAAAAAGACCTGCAGAATCTTTAATGAAAAAGTTCTTTACCTCTGAGCCAGGTAATACAAATCTTCACCAGCTATGGAATCACACATCTCTAGGGAATATTTGCAAACAAAAACATATTCTTCTGTACTTTGATAAAGCATTCTGTTCTTGGAACGCAGGTAAAACAGATCACCAGTTCTGCTTTTTTTTTTTTCCCCAATAAACTATGTTTATTATGCCAATTCTAATTACCATGCAATCTAATGGTTTTAAGGCTTATATTTTCCACATCACTGGACATCACAAACATGAAAGCATTTTATACTGTCATTATACATCAATGTTTGCACTTGGTTATACATATATACAGAAATTATTCACACGTCTTAACCTTGCTATTTTCTCCTTTCAAACCAACATAATTTTACTGTGAAAGCAGCTTTTTAATAAATGGTATAAGAAATACAGCAAGGCACACATTTTTTAAAAACTTTTTTTCTCATTACCACCTCAAGAAGCATAAAAAACCAAAATGTTGTACTTAATTCAGTAGAATGTCAACAGTTCCTAATATACAACACCATGTAGTTGTTTCTTGAAGTGTTGCATAGATTAAATTTTAAAATTAAATAAATAAAATGCCATTTATTTTAATTGTTTAATTTTTAGATGTATTGAATCAGGACGGCTAATGACTTCTTTTTGCTGCAATCCAACAAAATTGTCACTTTAAAAGTAAAATAGTTTCAATAAGCTTATGCATTAGACACATAAATATTAAATTTGATACATAAAATAGAAGAGTATTGACAGGTACAGTTCTGAAAAGATGAACCAGACTGATCATGAATTCTGTGGAACTTCAAAACTTTAAAGAACAGAACTAGTGATAAGTAGTACAGGAGCATCCAATTTAGGAAGGGGAGGTCATTAGAGGTAGCTTGGGAGAGGAATCCATATGAAAGCAAATGGCCTTGCTACAATACAAAATGATCACTGAAATAGGACTAGCATATGCAGCCTGATCACAAAGCCAACATGGACAAATCACGTTTGGAAAGAAAATTTATCTTGGGAGTCAGTGTAATGAAAGGCAGTGATACAATGGAATTGGAGGTCATCCCAGGGTTTACAGGATGAACCTGCACCTGAATTGCAGCCAAGTTTCTAAAAGGAAACAAAAAAGTAATAGTAGGTTACAGAAAATGAAGTTTTATTTGCAAAACATAGCTTTCCCAGAACAACCACCGATAGTCATTAAATGGTCACATGCCAGAGCCTTTAATGCAGAAGCATACAGTAGGCAAACAATGACTTTTAACAGCCTGAGGTACAAGTTACTGTAAAAAATTGTATCGATGTAGGAAACACATTGATTTTTGTAAAGACTTTGTTCCTAAAGAAACAAGGGAAGTCATCAAATCTGACCTTTTCCCTGGATCCTGTCCTCATCCTTACCTGCGAACTTACCTTCAGCACACTCAAAAGTGCACCGATCAATGAAAACATAGGAATTTTCAAAAGCGAAGCAACAGAAAGATCTACCCGTCACTTATTTTAATATTTATGTAAACATGTAGAATGAGATTTCAATGGAGAGGAGGAAAGGATTGTCACAGAAGTGGTCCATGAATAGAATCGTCAGTGTCGTTACTGTGTTTTTAAATTGTAAATAGCTATTTAGACTCTTCTAGTACCAGCAATGAGTTAAATTTTCATACTATAGAATTATCCAGCTCAGAGTTTAGGGTTAAACTATTCATCAAAGAGCACAGGCTTATGATGAGGATTATGAAGAAATAACTGTCAGAATACAGCTCAAAGATTAGTGCAAAGTACATCTCATAGGCATTTCCTAGGAGGCACTCCAGACATGCATTATGTGCCTTCCAAATTAAGCAGGAATATCTGGATCTATCCAGTTACCTTCTCCTTTGATCTTATTTGCTGTAACTGACCCCCCCCCCCTTATAGAAGAAATATACTTACATGACAATAGTGAAAAGCTCAACAGTTTGTTTAGAAATTAATGAAGAACTGATCTGAATAAAGGGGAAGACTGTATCAAAAGGTTTCTACAACTCTGGCATGAGTTTCACATATCTATAGTAAGAAAAGTCTCACTCATTATCTCAAGTATTGCAAAAATTATGTAATTCACAGACAATACAGGATTATCTGTTTATTTAATTTTTTTTTAAAGTCAAATACTGTAACGAGCTATAAAGTCAGACTGCTTTAAACTCTATAAAGAAACATTATAGTATCTACCTTCCTATAAAAAACTCTAGGAAAAAAATGATAAGCAAAGATTTAGATTATTCTTGTAGTCCCAGTCTCTAAAAGTAAATTATTACATATTAACTATTGTGTAAGCCTGTATATTATTTTTCTCCTGTAATGAATAATTAACTAACAGTCTTTTGCTTTTATGTATCATCTTTTATCTGTGGATCTCAAAACACTTTTCAGTGAATAAATCATGTTTCATAGGTCCCATTGATTATTATTCTCATTGTTTTGTTGCTAAAGAAACTGAGGCAAGGAGGCAATAAGTCATACAAAAAAATCTATTGCTGAGCAGGAAATAACAGTCAGGCCTTCTGAGTATCAGTCCTGGGTTTCTATAGTATGTGGCAGGATATTCTGGCTAACATTGCAGCACTGTCAGATAAAACCAATTTAGTTTTCCTAAGCCCAAGTAAAATATTTTTTTCCCTAAATTAAGTTAAAACTTAAGTTTAAATTACAAATTCTGCACAAAAGGAAGGCAGTAGCTTTTGGACTTGTAAGAACTAACAAATTACACACAGAATTCTAATGTATCCTCTAGAAAAGACTTTGGACATATCACATGAACCTCCTTAATGTATTGATCTCTACGCATATTGAATATGTGACTAAAAATTCCCACCCCATTGGTGAGTCATGGGTCACAGTGACAGCAGCAGATCGCATGATCTCATATACAGAAAGATAGTTCTTTCAAGCTGTCCCCTACTTGAGAAATAAAATCAGCATAGCTTTGTGAGCACCTCTGTTGAAGAGCTCTGTGTTGGCTCATACGAAAGACTAGTCAGTGCCGACAGAGATATTTTTAAGCCTGCTTATAGGATTGTTATTATTTTCCCATAAAAGTCATTTTTTTGTAGCACACTGCTAAATAACAGGATTGCAACATTTGGCAAAAATATTTACTTCACTATTACTTCTATTCTCCCATACAGCCAAGGCCAATACTAAAACAGTGTAAAGTCAAACTATATTTGAAACTATGCCTTTTTCAGCTTTGAATTCTCAGTATGCTTTTAAGGTACACATATACCATAGATTATTTTTCTCTAAGTATTGCAGCTACACATGGAATTACACATTTAAATGAGCTTACAGCACAGGTGCTACAGGAAAAATAATGGTGTTTGCCATTTATCTTTCAAATTAAATAATGTGTTTTTAAATAGTAACTTTTTTCATAATACACTTATGGGAACAACATTTATCTGTCACATTTTAAAAGATGTATTAGTAATAAATGTAAATTACCTTTGGAAAATCAGTAATTAGCCTCATCAAAAAATAAACAATCTGCCACCAAAAAGATAATCTTTAGCATAGTTAAGTATAATAACTGTTATTTGAATAAGTTAACAAATTAGGATAGATTGCTTCTGTAATTCATTCCCCATAGCATGAGAGATGAAGTTAAAGCACCAAGCTTGTGAATGGGGGAAGGGAGCTCAGACTTTAGTGAAACCAAATCTAGCAGCTCATATTTTCATTTTTTGATGTGCCAGAGATAAACTATCTGTATCCTAGGGCTTTACTACTGGGAATAATACAGTACATAATTTCCATGGAAAAAATGCTATATGCATCAGTTAATAACCAGTGTATCTTCCTAAATGTAAAAAGTTGGATGTAGTGTGAAGGGCTTTGTTACCTTAAAATATTTGTCAACCCCTGGGCAAAAATTAAAACTATAGCATAACCCTATTAAGTTGTTGCACACAAACTTTGCATTACATTTTATTGCATTGTGGGGCATTTATTAATATCTCCATCCTCTATGTCCAATCTTAGTCCTTACACTAACTGCACATTTTCATATCCCAGTCTTATGTAAAACACAGCTGGCTACCAAGTAAGTAAGTTCTGAAGAGTGAGGGAAAGTTTATATAGTATTTTGAGATCCTCAGAGGAAAAGTACTAATGAATTGAAAAGACATGTTATCATCTTCATCAGTGAAAGAATGAGAACAAGAATAAAATCACATTCACTATAGTAAGTATTATTCCTCAAATTAATATCATAAAAATGAGTGAAAGAATAAAAAACCTAATAAAACAGTAATTTAGGAAAAGCTTATGTTTACATAATTATCACTTATCAACCACAGACTTTTGTCATCATCTCAATTTCCAAATAAAGGCTTCCATATACACATAATCCTTTTAACGTAATTCTAGAATATATAGTATCATCTATGAGTTTTGTATTTCCCAGTTGATTTCCATTGCTTCTCCAGTTGTTTGGATGTGTCCAAGTATTAACCTCATTGGCAATCAACAGGTCATGATAGCCACTTTCAAAGCCATTCAAGAAATATCCTCTTTGCTATGATGGTTCCAATATAATGCATTATTCAAATAGATATGTCTCCAAAGAGATAGTGGCAAGCTGTAGACTATTGCTGTCATAACCTACTTTGCTAGAAATATTTATGCATATGTGAATGTGTGAATGCTGGGTAAACCACCAATATGTGCAAAAGAAAAGCCCAAAGCATAGTAATATAATATAGCAAAATCAGGAAATGCAGAAGTTAGATATCTAATAGCAGCAAAGCAATATATTTCTTATAAATAGGCCCAGATCTTCTGCTATAGCTACATAGTTTGCAATAGGAGAGTACTAGTGGTTTTCATGGGCAGTGATAAATAACAGCCTTTTCTCCTAGCAACATCATGGAATTGTAGCATAACTTAGGTTGGAAGCAAACTTGAACATCATCTGGTCCAACCTCCTGCTCAAAGGAAGGCTATTTTCAAAGGTAGATCAGGTTATTCAGGGCCACGTCCACTTGAATTTTGAAAATCTCCAAGGATGGAGATTCCAGAACTTCCCGGGAAAACCTGGTCCCGTGCTCAGCCTTGTGTTTTATTGGAAATTCCCTTGCTACAGCTTCTGGCAAGCAGCGGCATTTGGAATTGGAGTGGCATTTGGAGCTGCCATGCTGGCTCTGGTGTACTGGAGGAGTGTTTCCAAAAACTAATGGTATTCTATACAGCTATGCTGGCTTTTGGGTCACCAAACAACTAGTAAGGCTCAAAGCAGCAGTGCTACAGGCTAGGATATTATCCAGAAGTTGCTTTGTAGATCTTCTTTTGCTGTTAAATGTGCAGTTATTGTAGACATTTATGTGAGGACAGAAGCTCCAGATCTGAACTACTTACGAACTCTGGAAGAGATCAGAGCCACTTTTTCGTCTTAGGTTCCACCATGTTACTTATGTTTCAAAATGCTTACCACAAGATAGAACTGAAGCTTCCAGTCCTGCTGTGTGACTATCAGTTTCCATCTCCTTTGGTATTCAGGTCTTTATTCTACATTACCCTCACATAATACTCTTTAATGACGTTGCAAAGATTACTTATTTTGATAACCTCAACTTTTGACCTAACACTGTGTTGTGATAATTGTGTTCTTGATAATGGCTTACTGAACTTAAATCATGGTAAAATGACATCAAGAGATGATTTATTATCTCTCTACTTTTTCTCCAGTCTGCTTAGCCATTCTTCATGGCTTGTCTGGAAATATTGTAGAACTCAAACTCACTAATCACCCCAAATTCTTGTAAAACCAGAAGATCAGCTTCATCAAGTGCTTTTGAACACCTCACAAGGCCAGCTGCCTGAAGGGGATCAATGAGTAGAGCTGGCTTCTGGTTCCACAGCTCAGTTGAGGAGGAAAGAGGAGGCTGACATAGAAATATTATTTTTGAAGAATTCCCAAGTTCTGCAAGATAGCAGATTTGATGCAGAAGGGAGCAGCTCATGTCAGTGCAAAGCCAAAGGGCAAGAAGCAGTTAGAATTCACTGCATTTGTTGACCAATGGCATGTAAATTGGGATTATAATGTAATCAAAACAAATGATATAGTACTGTCATAAAACAGAAGCCTGGATGGTGATTAATCTCCATTCATTGTACAAAAATGTAAAAAAAAAAAGGGGGGAGCAAAAAAAGGTTAAAAAAAAGAATGTGCAACTTGCAGAGTACATACCTGTTTTTAGGATAATGTATGTGCCTGGAGAGAGTTACATTCTATCTGTGCATATTTATATGTCTTTCCTTATGAAGATTAAGGAGATTTTCTTCACAAGTAAGAGTTTTACTGTTCTGATGCAAAGCATCCTTCTTCTGTGAATGGCCAGGCTTTAACTGAAACTCTATAGCTGAAGCCTCTTCAGAAGCAGCAACACATCCTTTGGGCTCTTCAGATCCAGGTGATTCTCCTGTACTACTCTTTTTAGTGCTAAGCTCTGGAGAACTATTTTCCAAACGTTCAGTTTGCCCATCTGAAATCAGCAAATCATCAGCAGCATTTTTCAAATTGTTTGATGCACTTTGTTTGTTAGGATTGGGGATGTTCATATCATTGTCACCATTACATGAGAAAGATAAATCCCTACCTTCAGATGAAGTTTTAATTTCTTCTAATGACTCTAGAGTCACTTCACCTAGTGACTCTGGAGACGTTTCAGAAATAGTGTTAGAAATATGTTGCTGCTGCTCAACTCGTGCTTCAGGAGTACCATTAGAAATGGATTGCTGCTGCTCAATCCGTTCTTCCTCAGGACAGGCTTCAAAAAAGCATTCAATATTTTCTCTTTCATCTGTGAAGTCCAGTGGCACAGGAGTGCTGCTCTTTTCCTCTATGTATTTGATTACCTCTCCACAGTCACTATCATGAGAAGAAAGTGAAAGATAAGAATAGAAGTCCCCTTTTCTCAGCTGAATGGGTCTGTGAGAGTGTTCTAACACTTTTTCCTTGATCTGTGCTAATGAAGCTGGAGCAGATGACTCGCATTCAGGTTGTGACTTACTTTTTAAAGCTGTTGATGCCATGTCTATTATCTCCCTCACAAAATTGTGTACTGAGCCATCTTCTATGTTTCTTTTATCAAAAGTAGCAGATTCACAGTTACAGCATGAATCAAGACCATTGGCTGAGGAGTCGCATTCTGCTTCATTGGATTTCAAGGCTGTACAGCAATCAGTTGATTTTTCAGTAATGCTTATTCTATGTTGTTGACCATTAGGTAAGGATGTTTGTAAAGCTGTATCTTGTATGTCTACACAATTAATTTCTGAGGAAGATTCAAGACAAGGCTTTTTAGCAGGAGAGGAAGCAAGAGAGTGATGATCAGGCTGAAGATGTCTTTGACATTCTTTCGGAGGGTTTCTGGATCCATCTGATGACAGAACAGTCTCCTTGCCATCCATATGTGAATCATCTGAACTGTCTGTAAATGCTTCACAGACACAACATTCATTTTCAGCTTTTCTGACACCAAGTGATGCATGAGTTTGGGGAGTTGCTGATGTTCTAACAAGACCTTCCTTTTGACTGCCAATAGTATTTCCAACATTGCCATTCTCCATATCATCCACAAGCTGATCTTTCACAACCTGAGAGATATCTTTCATCAGGTGACTCTTTGTCCCTTTTTCACGTTCACGTGGTACGTTCTTACTATTGCCATTATTTTCTGATATTTTCTGTACTGAACCATTCAATAGTGTTTCAATGCTTAATGTATCTGTGGCTTTTGATGTCTCATTACTAACTTTATTGTGCTGAATTTCATCACTGAGGTTACTTTTTCTCTTCTCCCTTGTCAAAGAAAATTTTGGTCTAATCCAAGTCTGGAGTTCATTTTTTATATAATCAAGTCCTGAAATTAAATTGCATTCTTCATAAATATCCTCATCAGTTGCTATACTGGAGTCATCATCTTCATCTTTGATACCTAGCTCTTCCTCAGTTAAGGTAAGGGTGGAACTTGAAAGCAAATCACTGTCATCTTCATCATCAGTACAAGCAGAAGTGCAGGAGACATTAACAATCATGCTGACATTGACATCGCTCTCATCAGCTACAGATCTATTAAGATGTTTTCTAAATGATGCATTTGAATCTGGCATTTTATTTCTGTGCAGTACAATGTCTTCAGAGCAGAGAGAAAGATCCTCGCTGCTGCTGAGTTCAGTGAGAGAAGCTGCTGAGTCTTCGTTGATTGAGGATGCAATGTCTAGAGACAGCTGTCCAGTAAAAGACATTTTTTGAGAGCTACTTTGGAGTGTTATATCAGAGATGCTGTGCTTTATCTTTTGATCTAAAGGACTCTGGATATTCTCTAAGCGGTTCAAAAGATCTAATGTCCTTTTGCTGAGCTCTCCAACAGAATCACTGCTTGCACTTATGTCTCCTGAGCCATGATGACTAAAAAGATCTTCATTGCTTTTGTAGGAAGTCAGCCAGCTCTCCAAAGAGGTGCTTCGCTGAAGACCGTCTCCACCTTTAAAAATACCTGAGCTGAACAAATCACCTACTACAGACAGAGATTCTAATGAAGAACTACGAGATAAAGTTGAAACCTGTCTTGTACTCTCTGTAACAGTTAATTTTCTTACAGTTTCTGCAGATTTACAGGAATTGGGATCTGATTCTCCAGGGACACTTGCCAGAGTATGGTCATGAATAAACCCATCTGGTTGTGACTCTCCAGCCTTATGTTCAGATTTACCAGGTATTTTATCAAGACAAATACCATGAAACAAACTGCCCGCTGTATGTGTTTTTTCAATTTGTGATTGTTTCATTATCATTGGTAATTTGAATTTGGAGCCTTGAAGATATGAGTAATCATAAAATGTAAACACATCATGTTTTCCTTGCAGTTCTTCTAGACAAACAGGGTTACACATGGTAATGCTGTCCAAATCCTCACCATTTTCAGTTCTACAACATGCAGAAGGTGCCAACTGGAAATCATCTGAGAGACTAGCATGGTCTTCTTCATCTTGCTTTATTTTTTGTTTTATTACATCAACTATATCATCCACTTGAGTTTCTGCATGCCCAATTTCAGGATTACTCTGAGTGCTTTCAATATCATTTAGCAAAAAAATTTCTGAATTATTTGTAGTTTCTGTATCACATTCACTCACTATGCCACTCTCACTCTCAGAATGCCTGCTTATGCTTCCACTCTGATACATATAGTTATATG